GTATGTCAAATTGACCTGCACCTTTGTTTTTTCTTCTTGTTAAATGAGTTGTAATATTTAACTTAAGACGTGGACAGATTTACTCCTCACTACAGGAAACCAGCTTAGGACTGGCAGTAATTAGGTGTGCTGTTCATACAGTTTTTTATGCTTTTTTATTTTTTTAAACAAATATGGAGACAAAGGGTGAGCACCCCTGTTACCAGCCAGGTGACCTTATTTATGAGTATAAGTTGCAAGCCTTCTCAGCTTGTAATTTTCACCCCAGTGCCTTTACTACTTGTGAATATGACCTCACTCCTTGTTCTTACTTTAAAACGAGACCAAAACACAATGCAACTACGGATTACCATTTGTATTCTTGTATGCAATGCAAATAATTACCTGTGCTTTCATTTATTTACTTTCCCCTAAACCAGTCCATCTATCATGTGCATCCATGCACCTTATTCACTATTCGTTTAAAAAATACACTACAATATCATCCATTTAGTTGGGTAAAATCTTTGATTCCAGCAGCAGTTCCCCTATACTGGCCTTTTGGATTTTTAAAAGTCAACTTTGTTTTTATTTGTAATAATTTTATGTCTCTGTATTTTTTTAATCGCTTGTATTTAACAGACATTCATCTGGCCAAACTGCTGCAAACCCTGACATTGTTACTTATTATGGTTAAGCAACATGTCAGGCTGGCACAAGATGCCACATATTGTGGACACAGTATTAATGGCTTTATTGTTTGACACAGAATCAGATGTCTGTCTCTTGGGAATGCTTCATTTTTTTAACTTTTTTGAATTTATCTATTCCATTTTATCAGCCAGTTTAACGTGTAATTATTCCATTGTATCATTCATGTATGAAACAATAACTTGTGCATGTAAAACACATTCCTACCCTCCAGCAATGCCACGGTAAACTCACTGCACATCCTATTTGCACCGCGGTGACTTGTATTATCGCTGGCATTGAAGGCGGTAACGTGCCTTTTCTCAGTGTATTAATCTTGTACAGTATATTATTTTTTAATCGAAAGAAGCCAGTACTTGTTTGCTACAGGCATGCTTTCAGATTGTCAGATTTCAGGAAAGAAAAAAAAGCTTTCGGCTCTGAAACTTTTCATGTTTTTGTAACAATAAACTTGGAAGGAGCTTATGGTGCTGTCCGAGTGTCCTTTTGTCTCTTTTCCGGGATGGCTTGCGGAAGTGGGATTTTTTTGTTATGGGATGAAGAGGAAATACCTCATGAAGTATGAATGGAATCTTTATGTACATATACATACTCCTGGTAATGATGATTTTTAGCAGGTTTTGTCACAAATCTTTCCAACTCAGCTGTTAGAATAAATAGAGGGGGAGGGAAGAGAGTTGTTTATAAACTTTTTGGGTGATAAGGGAGGTCTGTGTAGCTAGGAGTCCGGGGAACCATGGGAAGAGTAGAAGGTAAAATACTGTCATATCACAGGTGTGTGTATATAAAATTGTGCTCACAGCATGATATAGGTGGAGATTTGAAGGACATTTGCAAGACCCTGACTGATTAAAATAACATTTATCCAACTATTCAAACTCCTTACTAAATTAGCACAAAGAAAGAAAGGACCACACTTAGAGTGGCGCCTAAACCGAAAGTCCCAGTATAAAAAAGTAAATACTGATCACTTACACAAAACAAATAATAAAACTGATGGAAAAAAAGGAGAAAACTTAATATATAATAATCCTCAGATATAATGTATTCAATTAGGATAATGACCTAAGAGTCAAGAGACGTAGAAAGCACACACAGCAAGCTTATGATTGCACACTCGTATATCCTACGTGTCAAAGATCATTATTCACCGTAAACCACCATCCTTATGTTTTACATGAGTTTTCAAGCAATATCGTAAGATGTAACATATATAAGATCCCACATACTGAACCACAGAAGTAATGTTTTAAAGGGTTTCGTCAACTCTTTATCGTTCCCGTTTCTTTATTTATAGTGTCCTTTTGAGCACTGGTTAATAGCCCCCTTATTACTGTCTAAAACTTTATTGTAAATATAAAATTAGCATTGCATAATAAGCTGCAATCCATGATAACATGCAGTGCTGGGTGAAGGTCTTCCATATCAGACACCTGGCTGTGTCACTCACTTCCTCTCTATGGTCCAGTCAAATGCTTCTCACTTCAAAAATCAGAAGTGGTCTTAGTGGTTGGAGTAACCCTTTAAGAATACTAGAGGAATGGAAAATACCATGAGGAGCTTGTTATCTGCAAATATTTGAAAGGAAACATGCATATTTTAATTTTGTACCTGATACTATTGGTGTTCCTTGTTAATAGAATTTCAATCTTTCCTTACATTCTGCTATTCACTGTAACACTGTCTTCTAGCCAATTATTTATGCATTGTACAATCTTAATGCTGTAATCCCAGTTGTGCAGTTTATCATTTGGTACAGTAGAGCTATACTGAAATCTTAATGAACTACATTTTAAGGGCAAATTTTAGTAATTTTTTTTTTGTTTGTTTTGCGTAATGTAGAGCATCAACTTGCAGCTAATGTAAATCCACTCCCTTTAACCCAGCACATACTTTGTTGGTGCTTGTTGTTGGCCAAACTTATTCTATAGTCACCAGAACAACTTTAGCTTAATGATGCCGTTTTGCTGTATAGATCATTCCCCTGCAGTCTCACTCCTCAATTCTTGGCCATTTATGAGTTAAATCACTTTGTTTATACAACCCTAGACACCCCTTCGTACACAGCCCTCCTAAACACTTCCTGCAAAGAGTCAGCTAATGTTTACACTTCCTTTATTTTAAATTCTGTTTAACTTAGAATTTCTCATCTCCTGCTCTGTTGATAGCTTGCTAGACCCAGCAGGAGCCTCTTGTATGTAAATAAAGTTCAATTTGCAAATCAGGAGATAAAAACGTTAAAAGTTAGTTACATCGGATTGAAAATGAAACTATTTTGTTTTCATTCAGGTTGTGTCAATCACAGCCAGGGGAGGTGTGGCTAGAGCTGCATAAACAGAAACAAAAGTTATTTAACTTCTAAATTACAGTGAATTTAGCAGTAAAACTACAGAGGCATGATCTATACACCCAAACTGCTTTATTAAGCTAAAGTTGTTTTGGTGACGATAGTGTCCCTTTAAGTACAAATCTATCTCATAAGGTGATTTCATTGATATTTAGAGATTCTTATAACATAAATCCTACATTTTAGGGCTTTATTAGTTCAAGTACCAATTTTAAGTATTCATTTTTGTGTGTGCATTAAAATGGTGACCTACCATATGATGTTGTAGACTACATATTTCATCAGTTTCAATCAATCACTGAATGAAGTTGATTGGAGGTACATTCCATATAATCTGTTCAGCAAGTAGTTGCCTCTAAATCCCATTAGATCAGATATATATTTTAACTTCCACCAGCCTCAGCCAGGATTTCACTGAGCACAATAGGATCTGTAGTTCGACAGGAGCAGGCTAGTATATGCATCATTTGATGGAACATACCGTATTTTTCGCTCCATAAGACGCACTTTTTTTCCCCTCAAAAGTGAGGGGAAATGTCTGTGCGTCTTATGGAGCGAATGTGAAGAATTACTTACCTGTCTTGGAGCGTGGGCCGGCTTCACAGCGCGCTCCGCGGTCCAGGAACTTCTATTTCAGGTTCCGGTTTCCGGCGGGACTGAAAGGAAGTGTACACACTGAGTGTGCACACTTCCTTTCAGTCACGCCGGAAACCGGAACCTGAAATATTAGTTCCTGGACCGCGGAGCGCGCTGTGAAGCCGGCCCACGCTCCAAGACAGGTAAGTAATTATGGGACAAGGGGAGGGGAGGAGACACTATGGGACAAGGGGAGGGGGACACTATGGGAGAAAGGGAGGGGAGACACTATGGGACAAGGGGAGGGGGGACACTATGGGACAAGGGGAGGGGGGACACTATGGGACAAGGGGAGGGGGAGACACTATGGGACAAGGGCAGGGGGGGACACTATGGGAGGGAAAGTGCACTATGGGACAATGGGAGGGGGGACACTATATGGGACAATCACTATGGGATCAGAACACTAATGGACAAGGGGAGGAGGAGTTAAAGAACACTATGGGACAGGGTAGGAGGGGTTAACAATCACTATGGGACAGGGTAGGAGGGGTTAACAATCACTATGGGACAGAGGAAAGGGGGGTTAAAGATCATTATGGGACAGGGGAGAAAAAAAAATATTCTGAACAAACTGTCCCATGGTAAGAAACACTATGGAACAGTTTGTTCAGAATATTTTTTTTTCTGGGTTTCCTCCTCTAAAAACTAGGTGCGTCTTATGGTGAGGTGCGTCTTATGGAGCGAAAAATACGGTAATACTTCCTGATATTATTTTTATAGCTTTAACTGAAGCTTGTGATCAATTCAAAGACAGCATTTTCTGCCCGATGTTAACAGAACTACAAACTGGTTTTCCCATTCACTACAAGAAAACATATAGAAGGTAATGAAGAAACAACTAATCTGTATCCCACTTCAGCCACCAACCATGCAACTCACAAGAATGGGTACTGTTATTGGTGCTGTTTCTTTGAACTTGAGGCTTCCAGTTCTCTTCCACAGGTGGTAAAGATCTGGCCTGATTCGAGGAAACATTGTTTTCATTGTCGGCTAAAAGGAAAGAAAAACAGAAAAGAAAAAGAGAAAAGTTTGAGTGTTTGTAGGTCAACCCATGTTTCAAGTGACAACGTGAGGAGGAGAGCTGGTATGTAAAATACCACAGCAAGCAGAGAGATCAGGTATGAGTCCCTACCAATCTCTCTGATGACCTCAATGTTTATATTATTTTTTTCTTGTAAAAATAAAACAACCCCACCTCTTGTGCAGAGCCACTATCCCTGAACAGAGAACGAGCAGGATGAAGTGGCACTGGCAGCTACATTGAGTGCATGCAGGGCATCCCTATCTCCACTAGCGGTCAGTTTAGAAGAACGGAAACAACTCATCGGTATGCGAGGGAGAGTAATTTATACGGTGAAGATACTGTTCTGGTTTCACCTAGTCTTGAGGTGCCTTAAATAATTCTAACCCAAAACATGGTAAATAACCTAAGTACAGAAACCGTGCCATGTTAAAATGCCTCTAAATGGGAGATCTTCTCACCGGCATGGGACTGCATGTGCTCCAGCAGATTGGTGTAAAACTGGAACTGAATTCCGCATGCACCGCAAGTGTAGGGCTCTGTGAGAAAACAATTTGCGGGTTTTACAAAGAGTTCTGTCAACGCCATGTAAGCACACTAACTGGAAATGACAAAACCTGCATCTATCCCTGGGCCACCTACCTAGCCTGGATCTGATTGGCCATCAGCCTAGCTTGGGTCTGATTGGCAGCCGGCCTAGCCTGGGTCTGATTGGCAGCCGGCCTAGCCTGGGTCTGATTGGCAGCCGGCCTAGCCTGGGTCTGATTGGCAGCCGGCCTAGCCTGGGTCTGATGGCTGCACTCAATGTTTGCGGAAAGCTTGTACCCTAACCACTAGAAGGAGCTAAGGCTTTCTGAATGGTACGGTTTAATTGTGCCAAGCTGAAGGCCGTGCAGACTGAGCCTTAAGAGATGCACAAACAAGAATTGTACTTAATTGTAATTACTGGTGGTTTAATACAAGACCCTGCCCAGAAGAGCTTGCAATTCACTGCTAAGTACATTACAATGCTTGGGATTGGTGAGTAGAGGATTACTGATCGTGGTGATTGGCCAGGAGCTATATTAAATGCTTACTGAGCACAGGGTAAATCGTGTTATACTACATTATGTAACACCATGTTTCAGGGGTTGATAAATGTTTATTTCAATATTATAGGGGAGATTAAAGTGTTGCAAACAAAAAAATAGGGCAAAGTAGTGAACAGACTGTGGAGACCAGTACACTTTGCAACATCTTACTTATTTCCATATTGATTACAGTTTGTGACACTTTGTATAAGATGTTGCTTCCTGTTAAGTGTGTTTACATGCCCCCATCTGGGTCATGACCCACCCTCTTCTATTTTCGATTTGCCATGTGGGGTGCATTAAGAAGCAGTTAGGAGATAGCATGCCTGACACAAACCATCATGTCTATCTCTCAGTAGCCACAGGAAGGATTAGAAGTAGTTTTAGGTTAAAAGCCCTCTGGGTTCAGATCACACAAGGCAATAACCAATATACTCATATGTATGGCAGCTAAGAAACAGACATAATTCCATGTGAATTACTGACAGATGGAAGGAGACGAGATATTTGCTACAGTTTGAAAAAACTGATGCAGGTTTTTCATTATACCACTAGGATGTATGTAAGCTCTTTGACCAAGCTCATTAAACTATAAGAATGAAAGTAATAGGTATTTTTAAATTAGTTTATTCCACCAGTGTGGATCCAGTATTACATCACACGACTCACTGTAAGCTCTTTACGCCTGTCTCGTATTGTACGATAGACTGTAAGCTCTTTGGCCAGGTCTCATATTGTACGATAGACTGTGAGCTCTTTAACCAGGTCTCATAATGAGCCACTCCAACAACTGAGTTCGGAGTGGGTGGCTCACTCCAGCATCTGAGCTCTGAGTGGTGGCTCACTCCAACATCTGAACTCTGAGTGATACACTCAGAGAATTGTATTCAGCAAATAAAGGAAGATTGGACCTTCCTTCATACCTTCAGGCTGCCACACCTCTTCCTTCGAATGGCTTGTGGGCCGTCTGATTATCGGATCATTCACACATGGCTAATTGAGGGCTGGGTGTTTAAACCAACTCAGAGGATACCTAAGGCCACTCTGCTCCTGACGACGGCGTCTTAGCACGCTGAAACGCGCATCAAGCTCTTATTGTCAATTTACACTTGGGTAGCACTATGCACATTTGAATTTTTGTTTTGAGTGTTCAGGGTTACTTGTTCATGTAAGCATTAGCTCTGTGCGGTGCCGAGGTATACAGGGACAGCGAGAGATTTTTTATTAATGGGGAATTTGTAGAACCTTTATCTTTGGCAACCTCCTGGTTCCCTCTCTGGCGTTTTGGGACACAGTGTACAGGGGAGGTTTGGATGGGTCTAGTTTAAGGATGCAGACCTCCTACCGCTCTTTGTAATTACCCTCCTCCCTACCTGTCCAGAAGTGGACACCAGCCACCTCTTATACCCCTGTTTTAATACGATTTATATTTTCTTTTTAAGTGGACCATTATTTTTTTGTATCATTGAGAATAAAGTTTAAGGTGTTTTTTTTGGCCACTTACAATACTTTTGTGCTTCCTCCCAGTGTATCCCACAATTGGTGACACTGGGATTTTTGTTCTCATTGTCAGTAGTTTAGCTGCAGGGTTACCCCCTAATTGGAAGCACTATTTAAGTGACTTTTCTTTTGATCTGGGAGGTGCAGGGGGAGTGGCCTTAACATCTTGTTTCACCCTAGGATATCCCCTTGGGGTGGGACAACACTCCCTTTTGAGTGGTTGCTCACTCCATCTGAGCTTCGAGTGGGTGGCTCACTCCGACATCTGAGCTCCGAGTGGGTGGCTCACTCCGACATCTGAGCTCCGAGTGGGTGGCTCACTCCGACATCTGAGCTCCGAGTGGGTGGCTCACTCCGACATCTGTGCTCCGAGTGGGTGGTTCATTCCTACATCTAAGAACTGACTGGGCATACAAGATCTGGAAGGAATAACGATCATGCAGAAACCCTTCAGAAGTCTCCTTTGCCTAGATAGGACTATATTTCCTCTGTCCATTCCTGATATTTTTACATTGTAAATATATGAATAGACCCACTTTCTTATTATTCCATACATATCTCACAGATTCAAACCCCGATCAGACTATTCCCCAGACACACATTAAATGGATTATAACCAAGACAGGAGTGTGTCCACACAAAGTTGTAATGCTCTCCTGATAGTGGAGACAGTGGCTGCCGTGAGGACAGCACGGAACAGGAAGCAGGAGAGGACACAAACTTTCTATCAGAGCGAGCTTGCATAAAGGGGAAATTGGAATTTGTGTTATACGTACAATTTATTTTAAAGCGGAGACATGCTTATTTTGGCTGTGTGTGTACAACAGGAGGTTAAATTCAAGGCTGCTTCTCCATGGCCTCTCTGTGTCCTAACTCCATAAAGCTCAGAGTACAGCTAAGATTACTAGATTGTAATAATAGAATGTGAACTCTGTGGGCCATTACTAGATTATAATGATAGAATGTAAGCTCTGTGGACCATTACTAGATTATAATGATAGAATGTAAACTCTGTGGGATATTACTAGATTATAATGATAGAATGTAAGCTCTGTGGGATATTACTAGATTATAATGATAGAACGTAAACTCTGTGGGATATTACTAGATTATAATGATAGAATGTAAACTCTGTGGGCCATTACTAGATTATAATGATAGAATGTAAGCTCTGTGGGCCATTACTAGATTATAATGATAGAATGTAAGCTCTGTGGGCCATTACTAGATTATAATGATAGAATGTAAGCTCTGGGTGCCATTACTAGATTATAATGATAGAATGTAAGCTCTGTGGGATATTACTAGATTATAATGATAGAATGTAAACTCTGTGGGATATTACTAGATTATAATGATAGAATGTAAACTCTGTGGGATATTACTAGATTATAATGATAGAATGTAAACTCTGTGGGCCATTACTAGATTATAATGATAGAATGTAAGCTCTGTGGGATATTACTAGATTATAATGATAGAATGTAAGCTCTGTGGGATATTACTAGATTATAATGATAGAATGTAAGCTCTGTGGGATATTACTAGATTATAATGATAGAATGTAAGCTCTGTGGGCCATTACTAGATTATAATGATAGAATGTAAGCTCTGTGGGCCTTACTAGATTATAATGATAGAATGTAAGCCTCCAGGATATTACTATTAGATTATACTGATAAATGTGAACCTAGATATTACTAGATTATACGACAGAACAAGCCTAGGGCCACATTAGATTATAATGATAGAATGTAAGCTCTGTGGGATATTACTAGATTATAATGATAGAATGTAAGCTCTGTGGGATATTACTAGATTATAATGATAGAATGTAAACTCTGTGGGATATTACTAGATTATAATGATAGAATGTAAGCTCTGTGGGCCATTACTAGATTATAATAATAGAATGTAAGCTCTGTGGGATATTACTAGATTATACTGATAGAATGTAAACTCTGTGGGATATTACTAGATTATAATGATAGAATGTAAGCTCTGTGGGATATTACTAGATTATAATGATAGAATGTAAGCTCTGTGGGATATTACTAGATTATAATGATAGAATGTAAACTCTGTGGGATATTACTAGATTATAATGATAGAATGTAAGCTCTGTGGGCCATTACTAGATTATAATAATAGAATGTAAGCTCTGTGGGATATTACTAGATTATACTGATAGAATGTAAACTCTGTGGGATATTACTAGATTATAATGATAGAATGTAAGCTCTGTGGGATATTACTAGATTATAATGATAGAATGTAAGCTCTGTGGGATATTACTAGATTATAATGATAGAATGTAAACTCTGTGGGATATTACTAGATTATAATGATAGAATGTAAGCTCTGTGGGCCATTACTAGATTATAATGATAGAATGTAAACTCTGTGGGATATTACTAGATTATACTGATAGAATGTAAACTCTGTGGGATATTACTAGATTATAATGATAGAATGTAAGCTCTGTGGGATATTACTAGATTATAATGATAGAATGTAAACTCTGTGGGATATTACTAGATTATAATGATAGAATGTAAGCTCTGTGGGCCATTACTAGATTATAATGATAGAATGTAAACTCTGTGGGATATTACTAGATTATAATGATAGAATGTAAGCTCTGGGTGCCATTACTAGATTCTAATGATAGAATGTAAACTCTGTGGGATATTACTAGATTATAATGATAGAATGTAAGCTCTGTGGGATATTACTAGATTATAATGATAGAATGTAAACTCTGTGGGATATTACTAGATTATAATGATAGAATGTAAGCTCTGTGGGATATTACTAGATTATAATGATAGAATGTAAGCTCTGTGGGATATTACTAGATTATAATGATAGAATGTAAGCTCTGTGGGATATTACTAGATTATAATGATAGAATGTAAACTCTGTGGGATATTACTAGATTATAATGATAGAATGTAAACTCTGTGGGATATTACTAGATTATAATGATAGAATGTAAACTCTGTGGGATATTACTAGATTATAATGATAGAATGTAAGCTCTGTGGGATATTACTAGATTATACTGATAGAATGTAAACTCTGTGGGATATTACTAGATTATACTGATAGAATGTAAACTCTGTGGGATATTACTAGATTATAATGATAGAATGTAAGCTCTGGGTGCCATTACTAGATTATAATGATAGAATGTAAGCTCTGTGGGATATTACTAGATTATAATGATAGAATGTAAGCTCTGTGGGCCATTACTAGATTATAATGATAGAATGTAAGCTCTGTGGGCCTTACTAGATTATAATGATAGAATGTAAACTCTGTGGGATATTACTAGATTATAATGATAGAATGTAAGCTCTGTGGGATATTACTAGATTATAATGATAGAATGTAAGCTCTGGGTGCCATTACTAGATTATAATAATAGAATGTAAGCTCTGTGGGCCATTACTAGATTATAATGATAGAATGTAAACTCTGTGGGATATTACTAGATTATAATGATAGAATGTAAGATCTGTGGGATATTACTAGATTATACTGATAGAATGTAAGCTCTGTGGGCCATTACTAGATTATACTGATAGAATGTAAACTCTGTGGGATATTACTAGATTATACTGATAGAATGTAAACTCTGTGGGATATTACTAGATTATAATGATAGAATGTAAGCTCTGTGGGCCATTACTAGATTATAATGATAGAATGTAAGCTCTGTGGGATATTACTAGATTATAATGATAGAATGTAAGCTCTGTGGGATATTACTAGATTATAATGATAGAATGTAAGCTCTGTGGGATATTACTAGATTATAATGATAGAATGTAAGCTCTGTGGGATATTACTAGATTATAATGATAGAATGTAAGCTCTGTGGGATATTACTAGATTATACTGATAGAATGTAAGCTCTGTGGGATATTACTAGATTATACTGATAGAATGTAAACTCTGTGGGATATTACTAGATTATAATGATAGAATGTAAACTCTGTGGGATATTACTAGATTATAATGATAGAATGTAAGCTCTGTGGGATATTACTAGATTATAATGATAGAATGTAAGCTCTGTGGGATATTACTAGATTATACTGATAGAATGTAAACTCTGTGGGATATTACTAGATTATACTGATAGAATGTAAACTCTGTGGGATATTACTAGATTATAATGATAGAATGTAAGCTCTGGGTGCCATTACTAGATTATAATGATAGAATGTAAGCTCTGTGGGATATTACTAGATTATAATGATAGAATGTAAGCTCTGTGGGCCATTACTAGATTATAATGATAGAATGTAAGCTCTGTGGGCCTTACTAGATTATAATGATAGAATGTAAGCTCTGTGGGATATTACTAGCTAATAACATGTATAGACTGTAAAGTCTATGAGGTATTTACCGATACAGCAGACAGAATTGTGTAAAATGTAACACTGATTATATTAAGCACAATAACGTATTTCTGTATTAGAATGCGTTCTGCCACACAGTCATGGCTCCTAGATAGCTATGCACATTTACATTAACCCTTCATTAGTCTCTTCGATACACAAATACAATAAACTGCAAACAAGTTACTATAAAAACAAAATAATGTTTGTCACTAATTGTTTCAACAGATCTCCAATATGACATTCCTATTAGTTATACAGCTGCTTGTAAAGCAAGCTATTTTTCACGCATTCCTTACATATTCCACATGGTTTGTCTGGGTGTGGAATTTACTGTATGTGCACAAATACTAGCTTAACAAAACAGTGCATTACCTTCCTAACCCGTCCACGCGAATTACAGACGGCAACCGAGAGCTTTCACTAACAAGCTGGAAACATGTCCTTTTCACTAAACTGGGCAATTTACCTCTTTTTGAAATCTGTGTGGTTAATAAGGTCATTGGTACATTTCACCCAACAGTGTCTGCGCTTGGCCACAACCTCAATGTGAGGCGTCGGCGTAAAAGGGATACCAGTTGTGTTCGCTGGGGAGAATGCGACACTCGTTGGGCCAAAGTCTACGTTTAGATATGGAATTCTGAATTCTAGACGTATCACACAATGAAATGATCTTTTGGTTATGCTACTACTATCCCACATGTTACCTAACTATCAGAAATGAGCACTTTTTGTGCATTTCTTTCCATTTCGTTTTTCTCTTTTTAATGCACACATAAGAGGAAATATTTGTTTTTTACACCTTTGAAGTGGTTTAAAAATAAAAAGCCTACAACACACTTTTTATTCCTTCATTTTTTTGTACTATTTGTATGTGAGCCCTCAATACCCGCAGATTGTCTATTTGCCGTTAATGATAATCTGCGGCTGCAAGCTCCATGAGCCAAATCGAAGATCAGTCTTATAGGTTGGAAGATCTGCAAGGCAAGGGTGGTATCCCTTATTACTTTTATACATTTTATATGAGACTGTGCAATAAGGCGCATTGTGACTGAATGACTGCATGTCCTCTGTACATGCAACAATAACTACTCATAATCCTTGTATAAATATATAACGGCGTCTCAGTATCTGCGCTTCCTGCTGACTGGTTATTGTGTGTCACTGTCAGTATATCGGATAGTGGGTCTGACTGCGCAGAGTACAGCGATAATGGCTGACTGCTTACTGTGTCAGATAGTGGGTCTGACTGCGCTGAGTACAGTGATAATGGCTGACTGGTTACTGTGTCAGATAGAGAGTCTGACTGCGCTGAGTACAGGGATAATGGCTGACTGGTTACTGTGTCAGATAGAGAGTCTGACTGCGCTGAGTACAGGGATAATGGCTGACTGGTTACTGTGTCAGATAGTGAGTCTGACTGATAATGGCTGACTGGTTACTGTGTCAGATAGTGGGTCTGACTGCGCTGAGTACAGTGATAATGGCTGACTGCTTACTGTGTCAGATAGTGGGTCTGACTGCGCTGAGTACAGCGATAATGGCTGACTGGTTGACTGGTTACTGTGTCAGATAGTGAGTCTTACTGCGCTGAGTACAGTGATAATGGCTGACTGGTTACTGTGTCAGATAGTGAGTCTGACTGCGCTGAGTACAGGGATAATGGCTGACTGGTTACTGTGTCAGATAGTGAGTCTGACTGCGCTGAGTACAGTGATAATGGCTGACTGGTTACTGTGTCAGATAGTGAGTCTGACTGCGCTGAGTACAGGGATAATGGCTGACTGGTTACTGTGTCAGATAGTGAGTCTGACTGCGCTGAGTACAGGGATAATGGCTGACTGGTTACTGTGTCAGATAGTGAGTCTGACTGCGCTGAGTACAGGGATAATGGCTGACTGGTTACTGTGTCAGATAGTGGTCTGACTGCGCTGAGTACAGGGATAATGGCTGACTGGTTACTGTGTCAGATAGTGAGTCTGACTGCGCTGAGTACAGGGATAATGGCTGACTGGTTACTGTGTCAGATAGTGAGTCTGACTGCGCTGAGTACAGTGATAATGGCTGACTGGTTACTGTGTCAGATAGAGAGTCTGACTGCGCTGAGTACAGGGATAATGGCTGACTGGTTACTGTGTCAGATAGTGAGTGAGCCTGACGGCTGCTAAGTACAGGGATAATGGCTGACTGGTTACTGTGTCAGATAGTGGTCTGACTGCGCTGAGTACAGGGATAATGGCTGACTGGTTACTGTGTCAGATAGTGGGTCTGACTGCGCTGAGTACAGTGATAATGGCTGACTGCTTACTGTGTCAGATAGTGAGTCTGACTGCGCTGAGTACAGTGATAATGGCTGACTGGTTACTGTGTCAGATAGTGAGTCTGACTGCGCTGAGTACAGTGATAATGGCTGACTGGTTACTGTGTCAGATAGAGAGTCTGACTGCGCTGAGTACAGTGATAATGGCTGACTGGTTACTGTGTCAGATAGTGGGTCTGACTGCGCTGAGTACAGGGATAATGGCTGACTGGTTACTGTGTCAGATAGTGGGTCTGACTGCGCTGAGTACAGGGATAATGGCTGACTGGTTACTGTGTCAGATAGAGAGTCTGACTGCGCTGAGTACAGGGATAATGGCTGACTGGTTACTGTGTCAGATAGTGAGTCTGACTGCGCTGAGTACAGGGATAATGGCTGACTGGTTACTGTGTCAGATAGTGAGTCTGACTGCGCTGAGTACAGGGATAATGGCTGACTGGTTACTGTGTCAGATAGTGAGTCTGACTGCGCTGAGTACAGTGATAATGGCTGACTGGTTACTGTGTCAGATAGTGAGTCTGACTGCGCTGAGTACAGGGATAATGGCTGACTGGTTACTGTGTCAGATAGTGGGTCTGACTGCGCTGAGTACAGGGATAATGGCTGACTGGTTACTGTGTCAGATAGTGAGTGTGACTGCGCTGAGTACAGGGATAATGGCTGACTGGTTACTGTGTCAGATAGTGAGTCTGACTGAGCTGAGTACAGGGATAATGGCTGACTGGTTACTGTGTCAGATAGTGAGTCTGACTGCGCTGAGTACAGGGATAAGGCTGACTGGTTACTGTGTCAGATAGTGAGTCTGACTGCGCTGAGTACAGGGATAATGGCTGACTGGTTACTGTGTGTCTGATTGAATACAGCGTTAATGGCTGACTGGTTACTGTGTGTCTGATTGAATACAGCGATAATGGCTGACTGGTTACCCACTGCGACTGCTGGATGATGTAGGTTTATCAGTAGTGTGGCTGAGTATTAATTTCCTCTCTGGATATACAGGTAAATGACCTCTGGCTAAGGGTAACAGGCGTGCGTTACAGACTCGGTGGGGCCAGAGTGACAATGTGGATGAGCCCCCTGTCTTGATGACGCACCTTCTGCTTTAGCACCTTTCTCTTCTTTCACTGGCTTGTTACTCGGTTCCTCTTTTCTTTTTATTTTTTTCTTCCATCCCTTGCCTCGGAAGATTCAAGAGAAACACAATGAATATTGTTACTAAATGCTTCTCAACTGCAGGTGTTTAAACACAATGCTACAAGGCTGAAATCTATCCCCAAGAACCCTACTGAAAGGGGCTCATCCTAGACCCACCTACATAACCTGTACAGCTTCTAAGGAGCCAGAACGTATTGGAGGACAAGATTGCTGGCCACAGAATGTCCTCAGTATCCAGAAGAGATGGTGAGGGGAGAATAAAACTTACTGTAACTGTGACAAGTGCCAAACCACACACATATGCCATCAAGCACTGACCACCATACTTATCCAAATACTGTGAATAATGAGCCAAACCATGTATAAGGAATACTTTACTTTAAGTAAAAGCTGCCCTGTCTCAGGTAATGTCTGATAAGCCACGAGAGAGACAAGATAACCTTTACTAAGGCGTGACAATGTTAATCCATTTGAGGAGGCGTGCAAACCACAAGAAACACAGAATACAGAAGAAGTTCCATTAAATCTCAGATAAAGTAAAGCCTTTCAAAGAGAGTCCTGGATTCTTGATAAATTATGTCTGAAAATTAATGAACAATTCTACTACGTAGTAAAGGGTAAAACCGCACAAGCTATATTACATTACGCCCAGTCACATGTAAGAAACCCAGATAGCGATACACTGTGATCGGGATGACGTATCTCAGTTTCAGTCTATTTATACAAAGCAGCCAGCACTGTATGACGCCCTCTGAAATATGCCACACACTACGCCAGCTTCCAAACTGAATTATATTCTCCATAGAAAACATGGACTCACTATCCCTCTACAGAAAGGGGGGGGGGGGGAATCAGAGAGGTATAATCCCAATAATGTTACAACAAACACATGGACAGGAACACAGGAACTTACTTTGTAATAATGGAAATGAACTGGGAATAATTTGATTGGCCGGTTCTAAAGTAATCAAAAGGACAAAATTATCATTTTTACCATTTATATTCTATATTCCTATACAAATAATGTTCTTCACTTGTGGTATTCCTGCTCTGTGTGTGGCTGTGTCTTTCGTGGTATTCCTCCTCTGTGTGTGGCTGTGTCTTTCGTGGTATTCCTGCTCTGTGTGTGGCTGTGTCTCTCGTGGTATTCCTGCTCTGTATGTGGCTGTGTCTCTCGTGGTATTCCTGCTCTGTGTGTGGCTTTGTCTCTCTTGGTAATTCAGCTCTGTATGTGGCTGTCTCTCTCGTAGTATTCCTGCTCTGTGTATAGTTGTATCTCTCGTGGATTTTCTGCTATGTATCCCTGCTCTGTGTAGAGCTGTATCTCTTCTGGATTTTCTGCTATGTATGTGGCGGTCTCTCTCGTGGTATTCCTGCTCTGTGTTTGGCTGTATCTCATGGGTTTCTGCTATGTATGTGCCCCGTCTCTCGTGGTATCCCTGTATCTCTAGTTTCTGCTCTGTAAGTTGCTGTGTGTCTCGTGGTATTCCAGCTCTGTAAGTAAGCTTTGTGTGGCTGTACATAGCTAACACTGAACTCACCTTTCTGCCAGGCTGTAATATTCCCGGCTACCACCATGTCTGACATTCTGTGCGTTCTGCTGGAACCTGATGGGAAGGCCACGTTAATGTGTTAGATCCTGCAGGTAATTTACTACACTCCGAATCTGGCAATTCATTGTAAGACAGTGAAAAGGGCTCAGAAAGCAGTACAGTAATAGTATAGTACTACACGTGGTATGTGAGATCCCACCAAATATTGTTCCACGTGCATTACATACAAAAAAATAATGCCACTATTCTGGTTCAGAGATCCTAAGTAAAAAGACGCCTCTGATCATAGTGTAACAATAATAAAAAAAACAAAACAGGAAATGTGCCGTGTACTGACCGGTTTCATTGAATTGACTGATTCAGGGTATAAAACATTATCAAAAAAAACTTATGTTGCTGTACTGATCAGTTGCACTTGAGTTAAAATGCACATTAAAAAAAATCTCTCTATATCCATTAAACAACAGTGAGGCAATCAGTCCCATGGTGGAGACATCCCGGGTTAGAGGTGCAATAATTGGCACTCTTTGGTGTTTTTACCATGTTATCCAATTAGCAGAAAGGATTATACGATGGCAGCATGTCTGGCTATTGAGGCCCCTATACAATAATGTAAAATAATCGCCGAACATTCATTGTAAAATACTTTCAGCCATGGCAATAACAGTGTGACTAGCAGTCCTGTGCGATCACTCCATCACACACTCACCGCTTGAATGCTGAGAGTTGCTGTTTGTTTCTTCATAGTTGTTTGGTACTTTGTGTTCTATGTCGTGGCTGAATGTGCCCTCTAGTGGGGAGAAAACAGAATTAATAATTGCAATAAGAGATCAGGGCTGACACCCAAAGGGTTTATAATGCAGAATTAAATATATCCAATCTTATTAAGTTCTGTAGGTGTAGGTGCAGCTTATTGTTTGCACTTCACCAGGGTTTATGCATTAACCTGTGCCTTGAGTTGAGATGAAAAATGAATTCATCCTGAAATTGCAATGGACTGCAAGTTGGAGAGAGAGCAGCTAAAAACTATACTCACTGAGAGGCGCGTGGAGAGCCACGTGTTCCTGATACGGAGTGTAGTATTTGTACTGCTTTCCGCAGAATTCACAAGTGTAGTTACCGGTTTCTGCAGGAATTGAATAAAGAGAGAGAGGCAGGAATCAGTGTCGCTTTAATCCGTGCTAAAACTTGCCTGAGCGACTAAGAAAACCGCAGACAGGAATGATTAATTAACATAATGCATGGGAGCCATTATACTAATTACAAGAAAATGGAACACTTTTATCAGGGCCAGAAAACCCATCAAATGAGTTCTAGGAATAACTGGGCACCGTGTCGTTACCTTGAGATCTACAGTACGTGTTTACCCCTATCTGGAAGCATAATTCACTTTATTAATATTAGAAATGGGCAAATTCTACAGACACGCTTAAAATCTTCACGCAGCTACCAGCTCAGCATTCGGTCTGTGATATTCCAGGTAAACTTTCACAAAATATCAAGAAAAATCCTAAAAATGAAGAATTGTGTAACGGAACGAAGGAAGTGGGATTTAATTCAATTCTCAGTGACCTCACATTTGTTCATTTTATTCTCCACCTAAAGCTGCTGACAAAATCTACAAAACAAAACATTAAAAATACTTTATATCGTCTTCCAACACAGGAACAAACATAGCTCTATACCCAATGCACAGAGCTACAACTAGAGCAGAGGCTCCACAGGCTTTGATTACTCTACGATATTTGATATCCTGTAGTCACTTGTAGTCTTATAGCATTTTAATAAAAAGTAAATTTGTCAAGCCCATTCCATGTCTGTACCAACATACAGGATAGGGTTTTATTCTCACCCCCGTGTGCATTATGTCCCCTCTTCATCTGTTCCAACACTGGTCTTCAGTAGGCAGCACTTCGACTCATTTGTGTCACTTTATTGATTTAAAACGGACTCCATTTACATAAACTTACAGTTTTAGGTATTGCTAAACAGCAGACTAAATGCATTGGCAGGCTGTTATGTGCTGGACATTATACACAGCCAAATAAAAAAATCCAGGGGAGTAAGGGTTCAAAACATTAACATGAGGAGCGTCTACGACCATGAGAAGTGCCCATAGGAAGTACACAGCCCAACACACTACAAGCCACATGCGATCATACTTGGACCAAGTTTCAGAAACGGTTCAGGGTCCTCTTCTTTTGCGTCCCCTGAAGTTACCATCATATGGATATAGGTGTCTAAAAAAAAAGGAACGATAAAAAAAGGAAAAAAAAAAAAAAAGATAAAAATAAAAGATATAAATGTATGTTCTCAACCTCATCAAAATAAATATGGGGGAAATAAAAGGAACAAAAAGTGAAACATTCATTAACAAACAACCAATTTACTAGAATAGTTTAGGGCGTTTTAATTTAGACCACGATTCATTCATGTAATAAATCCTAAATAATCTGCATGTACCAGCACAGTCCCAAATTACCAGCACAGCCACGTGGACGAAATAAAACTAATATCCTTTAATGTATTATTATTGTTTATTACACAGCTTGCACTGTGTCTATACTCTGCAGGAGGAAACCGGGCTCTTTAATGAATGGACAGGACTCTGCACTAACTAGATCAATGCCAAGGCATCAAATTTAAAAGCTTACTCCAAACAAAACTGGTGTTTGGTTAAAGATTGTCCAACCCACCCACCCCCCAACTAACTAACTAAAATCCCAAACTTACCTCCGTTCCAGGGTTAGTAAAAAGCCAGCTCCCCCTCATGGGAGGGGACGCGAGGTCAGCAAGGGCAGGGGTGGCACACAATTGACATTAACCAGCTTGGAAATTGTTTCAAAGTGAAACTCTGCACACACAGATTCCAGGCACCATGTCCATTTTAAACCAATGAAGTGGTCATGGTGTTAGGAGTAAACCTTAAATCAATATACAATTAAGAGTCGGTTCAAGACAGCGAACAGATGATGCAAATCTGGGAAGGCCAAAATGACAGTTTACAGGGCAGCAAGTATAGCACTTACTGTAATATGATGACATCTGCACTAAGTGGGATTATTAATCCACAATGATATCATGTTACAAACATTTACCCCAAACCACCTGTGTAACGGACCGTTTTGGACAAAAGGGGTAAAAACCATTTAGGCGATCGGCCCCCTTTCCAGAGATGCAGGCACAGCTACTGCAGAACACCAAACACCCGAACGGCATACAAGGGAATGCTCCAAACACCCGAACGGCATACAAGGGAATGCTCCAAACACCCGAACGGCATACAAGGGAATGCTCCAAACACCAACGAAGGTACAAGGAATGCCCAAACACCAACGTATACAAGGGAATGCTCCAAACACCCTCGAACGGCATACAAGGGAATGCTCCAAAACACCCGAATCCGCATACAAGGGAATGCCCAAACACCGGGAACCGCATACAAGGAATGCCCAAACACCAACGGCATACAAGGGAATGCCCAAACACCGAATCCGCATACAAGGGAATGCCCAAACATCACGCTTAACTGGAACCTCACGAATAGCTGCTAGCAGACGAACAGGAAAAGCACCCAAGTGGCTTACGCTCCTGGCAATCAGTCTCTATCAGCATACAGTAAATCCCCCCAAAGACGAGACAGAGCTCCGTGTTGAGGGTCAAGCAGTGGTCTGTTTAATGAGGGCTACCTGCCCAGTATTTATGCAGGTCTCCCACCTGGTGGACACTCCCCTAGGGGACCAAATGGGAGACTGTGACAAGGGACAGACAAGCAGACAGATAGGACACACAGTCACAATATATTCCCACAATGCATCCTGGCTTCCTCCCCTCTGCCCTGGGAGATAATTGAGAAGTAATTCAATTATCTCCCAAGACAAAGGCAACTCTCCATTATGCACATGGGGATACTAAAACAAGCATTACTGTTAAAATACACCAGATAAGACACATTACATTAAAACTATACATTTAACATATCCCCAGATAGCTCAGGTCTGAGCGCACATTATTAAGTGAATGGCGCTCAGACCACACGAATACAGCTTTTCTGCAGGCGAAACAATGTCTTTTAACAGGGGGCCATAGTCCAGAGGCAGCAGGCGAGCAACCAGGCTTCTCCAATGCAATGTGGCGAGATTGGTCTCGTCACAACTGGTTGATTCAATAAAATATCAATCTTATAGATTCATGGTTTAATTATTTGCATATTACAAATGTAATGTATGAGAACTGCTAAAAGCAACCATCCCCAGCTACAGGATAGTCTATTTAATAAATTGGACCACTGAAGTAGTCATGGTAATAGGAGTTCCCTGGTGTCCTCCCAGTTTTATTTGTCAAATTATTTTAGAACAATTTGACAACTTGCCTGTCTCACCAGGCTTCCATGGCTCCAGCCCCTCCACTGAGCTAAGCAGAGCCACACTCAATGGCTCCGCTCTCTGCATAGGATGTACTTAGGGTGAATAGAGCTATCCGGCGTCTTCTGCACCCAGGTAACACTTAGGGGGGTAGTGGTTATGAGCAGACCTATATTCCAGATATACAGAGTTAGTAGATATATCCCAGATATACAAGGTTAGTAAATAGCTGTATTCCATGTATACAGGGTTAGTAATAGCTATATCCCAGATATACAGGGTTAGTAAAGAGCTGTATCCCAGATATACAGGGTTAGTAAATAGCTGTATTCCATGTATACAGGGTTAGTAAATAGCTGTATTCCATGTATACAGGGTTAGTAATAGCTATATCCCAGATATACAGGGTTAGTAAAGAGCTGTATCCCAGATATACAGGGTTAGTAATAGCTATATCCCAGATATACAGGGTTAGTAAATAGCTATATCCCATATATACAGGGTTAGTAAATAGCTATATCCCATATATACAGGGTTAGTAAATAGCTATATCCCATATATACAGGGTTAGTAAATAGCTATATCCCATATATACAGGGTTAGTAAATGGCTATATCCCGGATATACAGGGTTAGTAATAGCTATATCCCAGATATACAGGGTAAGTAAAGAGCTATATCCCAGATATACAGGGTTAGTAAATGGCTATATCCCGGATATACAGGGTTAGTAATAGCTATATCCCAGATATACAGGGTAAGTAAAGAGCTATATCCCATATATACAGGGTTAGTAAATAGCTATATCCCAGATATACAGGGTTAGTAATAGCTATATCCCAGATATACAGGGTAAGTAAAGAGCTATATCCCAGATATACAGGGTTAGTAAATAGCTGTATTCCATGTATACAGGGTTAGTAATAGCTGTATCCCAGATATACAGGGTTAGTAAAGAGCTATATCCCAGATATACAGGGTTAGTAAAGAGCTGTATCCCATATACACAGGGTTAGTAAAGAGCTGTATCCCATATACACAGGGTTAGTAAAGAGCTGTATCCCATATACACAGGGTTAGTAAATAGCTGTATCCCATATATACACGGTGTAACGGATCACCTGGCACCCCGACTGGGTACCTCCGTTGATGGATGCTCCTAGCGCTTCTTGAGGATTCCAGGCACTCTAGCCAACACCACAACCGCCACATGCCAAACCTCTCTTCCTTCAGAGCAAAGCAGGAATGAGCTCTTAAAAGAGCTTAGGAGTGATTATAGCAAAGGAATATGCAGGGCATTGCAATCCCTTGTAGCAGATTCCCCCATTAAGAAACAGGACTCCAAATTGAGAATGAAGTAGAACTGACTAAAACTTTATTTTACTTGGGACTAGCCCATATGGTCATTACATTAACATTGCTGTGAAAACTCAATCAAATTACAAACAGTCAAATCATAGCAGGCAACATACAGTGACTTATGATAACATAATTACATATTTATAAATGGGTGGGGAAGACCATAATTAACACAAAATGTCTCTCCTGCATTCAGAATTAGCGATATGCAAATCTACCCAAATATGCAAATTACCAGTATTGCTATTCAGGTAGTGCATATTACTGTTGCTACCAACAGAGGGCACTACACAAGCTCCATAGCCAAATCCACCTAGTTGGTAGCAATACTCAGCAGTACAGGAGAGCAGGCAATACACCCCAGGGGCCATAGTCACATGGCAGGAGGCTGGCAATCAGTTTTCTCCAATGCCTAGTGGCGAGGCTGGTTCCGCCACACAGGGTTAGTAAAGAGCTACATCCCAGATATACAGGGTTAGTAAAGAGCTGTATCCCAGATATACAGGGTTAGTAAAGAGCTGTATCCCAGATATACAGGGTTAGTAAAGAGCCAAGCTATATACCAGATATATAGGGATAGTAAATAGCTATATTCCAAATATACAGGCTTAGTAAAGAGCCAAGCTATATCCTAGATATACAGGGTTAGTAAAGAGCTGTATCCCAGATATACAGGGTTAGTAAAGAGCTGTATCCCAGATATACAGGGTTAGTAAAGAGCTGTATCCCAGATATACAGGGTTAGTAAATAGCTGTATCCCAGATATACAGGGTTAGTAAATAGCTGTATCACAGATATACAGGGTTAGTAAATAGCTATATTCCAGATATACAGGATTAGTAAAGAGCTATATCCTAGATATACAGGGTTAGTAAATAGCTGTATCCCAGATATACAGGGTTAGTAAATAGCTGTATTCCAGATATACAGGGTTAGTAAATAGCTGTATCCCAGATATACAGGGTTAGTAAATAGCTGTATCCCAGATATACAGGGTTAGTAAAGAGCTGTATCCCAGATATACAGGGTTAGTAAATAGCCGTATCCCAGATATACAGGGTTAGTAAATAGCTGTATCCCAGATATACAGGGTTAGTAAATAGCTGTATCCCAGACATACAGGGTTAGTAAATAGCTGTATCCCAGACATACAGGGTTAGTAAATAGCTGTATCCCAGACATACAGGGTTAGTAAATAGCTGTATCCCAGACATACAGGGTTAGTAAATAGCTGTATCCCAGACATACAGGGTTAGTAAATAGCTGTATCCCAGATATACAGGGTTAGTAAAGAGCTATATCCCAGATATACAGGGTTAGTAAAGAGCTGTATCCCAGATATACGGGGTTAGTAAAGAGCTGTATCCCAGATATACAGGGTTAGTAAAGAGCTGTATCCCAGATATACAGGGTTAGTAAAGAGCTGTATCCCAGATATACAGGGTTAGTATAGAGCTATAGCCTAGATATACAGGGTTAGTAAAGAGCTATATCCCAGATATACAGGGTTAGTAAAGAGCTGTATCCCAGATATACAGGGTTAGTATAGAGCTATAGCCTAGATATACAGGGTTAGTAAAGAGCCGAGTTATATCCTAGATATACAGGGTTAGTAAAGAGCCGAGCTATATCCTAGATATACAGGGTTAGTAAAGACATTTATAGAGATGTAAAGGCTTGTTAAAGAGATGAATAGATTGTATGATGCTGGTAAGTGTGCTGGTATCCATAGACTGTGCTGGTAATTTATGTAGTACCCGGTCATATATTACTGTAAGACCTGGTTGTGCTCAATGGTGCCCCCTACTGGTGGCAGTGCAGTATTACTGAGTGAGGGCAGGTTCCCACGACTACAGAAACAGTACCGCATATTGTGCGCGGACGGAAGACATTTTCCAGTGCGCTCCTTATCGTTGGCTATATGGAGTTTTATAAGAAATTCGGGGCTGAAAAGCACATTTCATATAAATCCTATATGGCTTCACACTTATTGAGTTTATTCACCAAACAAGAATTGAGGGGTATTTAAAAGGGGATTGCCAAATTTAGACCAAAACAGTCCAGCTGAAAGCAATACTTGAGAAGTGGAATTTTGGATTCAATGTATAACTCCCTATTTACGAGTCCATGTGAGATTCGTGTGTTTGGATGACAATCAGGGATTAGAGCTCCGTTTATTGGATATAATTATACAGCACAATGGAGCCAGTCTCCCTCAGAAATGATACGGTTACAGAATGGGTCTAAGTACCAGATTCCTAGATTGTGAGAAATGAGAAGAATACTTACCATCCACTGCATGCAAGTCTCTGTGCTCCTGGAAGCAGCTGTAATATTTGTATTTTTTGCCACAGATGTCACACGTGTATCGAAAATTGTCTGTAAGAATGAAAATATGTATGCTAGCACGTTGAGATGAATGACTGGACTGCACAAAAAGACATTGAAAAGCAGAACGTATGACAAAACAATGACCCGAAAGTCCCTCCATAGAACAGATGTAAGCCACGATCCATGCAATATAACTTACTGACAGCTACTCACAGCAAGGGAGGCCGACTGTAACTGTCCACTTAGAGCTACTCACAGCAAGGGAGGCCGACTGTAACTGTCCACTTAGAACTACTCACAGCAAGGGAGGCCGACTGTAACTGTCCACTTAGAGCTACTCACAGCAAGTGAGGCCGACTGTAACTGTCCACTTAGAACTACTCACAGCAAGGGAGGCCGACTGTAACTGTCCACTTAGAGCTACTCACAGCAAGGGAGACTGACTGTAACTGTCCACTTAGAGATACTCACAGCAAGGGAGACCGACTGTAACTGTGCACTTAGAGCTACTCACAGCATGGGAGACTGACTGTAACTGTCCACTTAGAGCTACTCACAGCAAGTGAGGCCGACTGTAACTGTCCACTTAGAACTACTCACAGCAAGGGAGGCCGACTGTAACTGTCCACTTAGAGATACTCACAGCATGGGAGATTGACTGTAACTGTGCACTTAGAGCTACTCACAGCATGCGTGACTGACTGTAACTGTCCATTTAGACCTACTCACAGCAAGGGAGGCCGACTGTAACTGTCCACTTAGAGCTACTCACAGCATGCGTGACTGACTGTAACTGTCCACTTAGAGCTACTCACAGCAAGGGAGGCCGACTGTAACTGTCCACTTAGAGCTACTCACAGCAAGGGAGACTGACTGCACCTGTCCACTTAGACCTACTCACAGCAAGGGAGACTGACTGTAACTGTCCACTTAGAGCTACTCACAGCATGCGTGACTGACTGTAACCGTCCATTTAGACCTACTCACAGCAAGGGAGGCCGACTGTAACTGTCCACTTAGACCTACTCACAGCAAGGGAGACTGACTGAAACTGTCCACTTAGAGCTACGCAGAGCAAGGGAGACCGACTGTAACTGTCCACTTAGAGCTACTCACAGCAAGGGAGACTGACTGTAACTGTCCACTTAGACCTACTTAGACAGAGCAAGGGAGACCGACTGTAACTGTCCACTTAGACCTACTCACAGCAAGGGAGGCTGACTGCAACTGTCCACTTAGACCTACTAAGAGCAAGGGAGACCGACTGTAACTGTCCACTTAGAGCTACTCACAGCAAGGGAGACTGACTGTAACTGTCCACTTAGAGCTACTCACAGCATGCGTGACTGACTGCAACTGTCCACTTAGACCTACTCAGAGCAAGGGAGACCGACTGTAACTGTCCACTTAGACCTACTCACAGCAAGGGAGGCCGACTAACTGTCCACTTAGAGCTACTCACAGCAAGGGAGGCCGACTGTAACTGTCCACTTAGAGCTACTCACAGCAAGGGAGACCGGCTGCAACTGTCCACTTAGACCTACTCACAGCAAGGGAGACTGACTGTAACTGTCCACTTAGAGCTACTCACAGCATGCGTGACTGACTGTAACTGTCCACTTAGACCTACTCACAGCAAGGGAGGCCGACTGTAACTGTCCACTTAGACCTACTCACAGCAAGGGAGACTGACTAACTGTCCATTTAGACCTACTCACAGCAAGGGAGGCCGACTGTAACTGTCCACTTAGACCTACTCACAGCAAGGGAGACCGACTGTAACTGTCCACTTAGAGCTACTCACAGCAAGGGAGGCGGACTGTAACTGTCCACTTAGAACTACTCACAGCAAGGGAGGCCGACTGTAACTGTCCACTTAGAGATACTCACAGCATGGGAGATTGACTGTAACTGTGCACTTAGAGCTACTCACAGCATGCGTGACTGACTGTAACTGTCCATTTAGACCTACTCACAGCAAGGGAGGCCGACTGTAACTGTCCACTTAGAGCTACTCACAGCATGCGTGACTGACTGTAACTGTCCACTTAGAGCTACTCACAGCAAGGGAGGCCGACTGTAACTGTCCACTTAGAGCTACTCACAGCAAGGGAGACTGACTGTACCTGTCCACTTAGACCTACTCACAGCAAGGGAGACTGACTGTAACTGTCCACTTAGAGCTACTCACAGCATGCGTGACTGACTGTAACCGTCCATTTAGACCTACTCACAGCAAGGGAGGCCGACTGTAACTGTCCACTTAGACCTACTCACAGCAAGGGAGACTGACTGAAACTGTCCACTTAGAGCTACGCAGAGCAAGGGAGACCGACTGTAACTGTCCACTTAGAGCTACTCACAGCAAGGGAGACTGACTGTAACTGTCCACTTAGACCTACTTAGACAGAGCAAGGGAGACCGACTGTAACTGTCCACTTAGACCTACTCACAGCAAGGGAGGCTGACTGCAACTGTCCACTTAGACCTACTAAGAGCAAGGGAGACCGACTGTAACTGTCCACTTAGAGCTACTCACAGCAAGGGAGACTGACTGTAACTGTCCACTTAGAGCTACTCACAGCATGCGTGACTGACTGCAACTGTCCACTTAGACCTACTCAGAGCAAGGGAGACCGACTGTAACTGTCCACTTAGACCTACTCACAGCAAGGGAGGCCGACTAACTGTCCACTTAGAGCTACTCACAGCAAGGGAGGCCGACTGTAACTGTCCACTTAGAGCTACTCACAGCAAGGGAGACCGGCTGCAACTGTCCACTTAGACCTACTCACAGCAAGGGAGACTGACTGTAACTGTCCACTTAGAGCTACTCACAGCATGCGTGACTGACTGTAACTGTCCACTTAGACCTACTCACAGCAAGGGAGGCCGACTGTAACTGTCCACTTAGACCTACTCACAGCAAGGGAGACTGACTAACTGTCCATTTAGACCTACTCACAGCAAGGGAGGCCGACTGTAACTGTCCACTTAGACCTACTCACAGCAAGGGAGACCGACTGTAACTGTCCACTTAGAGCTACTCACAGCAAGGGAGGCGGACTGTAACCACTTAGAGCTACTCACAGCAAGGGAGGCCGACTGTAACTGTCCACTTAGAGCTACTCACAGCAAGGGAGACTGACTGTAACTGTCCACTTAGACCTACTCAGACAGAGCAAGGGAGACCGACTGTAACTGTCCATTTAGAGCTACTCACAGCAAGGGAGACTGACTGTAACTGTCCACTTAGAGCTACTCACAGCATGCGTGACTGACTGTAACTGTCCACTTAGACCTACTCACAGCAAGGGAGACCGACTGTAACTGTCCACTTAGAACTACTCACAGCAAGGGAGGCCGACTGTAACTGTCCACTTAGAGCTACTCACAGCAAGTGAGGCCGACTGTAACTGTCCACTTAGAACTACTCACAGCAAGGGAGGCCGACTGTAACTGTCCACTTAGAGCTACTCACAGCAAGGGAGACTGACTGTAACTGTCCACTTAGAGATACTCACAGCAAGGGAGACCGACTGTAACTGTGCACTTAGAGCTACTCACAGCATGGGAGACTGACTGTAACTGTCCACTTAGAGCTACTCACAGCAAGTGAGGCCGACTGTAACTGTCCACTTAGAACTACTCACAGCAAGGGAGGCCGACTGTAACTGTCCACTTAGAGATACTCACAGCATGGGAGATTGACTGTAACTGTGCACTTAGAGCTACTCACAGCATGCGTGACTGACTGTAACTGTCCATTTAGACCTACTCACAGCAAGGGAGGCCGACTGTAACTGTCCACTTAGAGCTACTCACAGCATGCGTGACTGACTGTAACTGTCCACTTAGAGCTACTCACAGCAAGGGAGGCCGACTGTAACTGTCCACTTAGAGCTACTCACAGCAAGGGAGACTGACTGCAACTGTCCACTTAGACCTACTCACAGCAAGGGAGACTGACTGTAACTGTCCACTTAGAGCTACTCACAGCATGCGTGACTGACTGTAACCGTCCATTTAGACCTACTCACAGCAAGGGAGGCCGACTGTAACTGTCCACTTAGACCTACTCACAGCAAGGGAGACTGACTGAAACTGTCCACTTAGAGCTACGCAGAGCAAGGGAGACCGACTGTAACTGTCCACTTAGAGCTACTCACAGCAAGGGAGACTGACTGTAACTGTCCACTTAGACCTACTTAGACAGAGCAAGGGAGACCGACTGTAACTGTCCACTTAGACCTACTCACAGCAAGGGAGGCTGACTGCAACTGTCCACTTAGACCTACTAAGAGCAAGGGAGACCGACTGTAACTGTCCACTTAGAGCTACTCACAGCAAGGGAGACTGACTGTAACTGTCCACTTAGAGCTACTCACAGCATGCGTGACTGACTGCAACTGTCCACTTAGACCTACTCAGAGCAAGGGAGACCGACTGTAACTGTCCACTTAGACCTACTCACAGCAAGGGAGGCCGACTAACTGTCCACTTAGAGCTACTCACAGCAAGGGAGGCCGACTGTAACTGTCCACTTAGACCTACTCACAGCAAGGGAGACCGGCTGCACCTGTCCACTTAGACCTACTCACAGCAAGGGAGACTGACTGTAACTGTCCACTTAGAGCTACTCACAGCATGCGTGACTGACTGTAACTGTCCACTTAGACCTACTCACAGCAAGGGAGACCGACTGTAACTGTCCACTTAGAGCTACTCACAGCAAGGGAGGCCGACTGTAACTGTCCACTTAGAGCTACTCACAGCAAGGGAGACCGACTGCAACTGTCCACTTAGACCTACTCACAGCAAG